TGAAAACAAAATTACTTTCCAAAAAAAAAAAAAGCATGCTTTAAATATAATTTGAAAGATTTAATTATCACACGTGATCATCAAATACGCATGCATTAAGGTGCATTAAATATAATTTGAAAACAAAACTACTTTAAAAAAAAATACGCATAAATCAAGAGAGAACATACAAATATGGAATATTAAAATTCTCCCATAAAATTAGGAGATATTTAATGCAGTACTTTTCAAAGAAAATACAAATGAATCAATAGAGGACAAAAATGTACAAAAAAATCAGTAAAATTTAAATAATATATTTAGATACAAATAAGTATCAAATTTAAAGATTTAATTATCCAATATTTTTTTCTGTGTATTTTTGTACAATTAAGTCTAATTTAGTATACCCCTCCAATTTTTCTTTTTTTTTTCCCCTAAACCAAATAATAAGATTTAATTTATTTACTTCTTCTCCAAAACTCAAATTCTACAAATCCTTTTCTGTCCACCGGCATTTCAAATGTTCCGCTCTCACAATAAACCTCGAGTAAATCAATTTCTATTTTTTTTTTTTACTTCTCAATAAAGAATCCGGAGAATTCTATTTCTAGTTTTACGTGTTTCACACTTTTTCAAGGTCAAATGCAATTTCTAGAAATTTTATTGCATGCGTATACATGATCCTACTTATTTATAAAAATATGACTAATTAACAAATAATTTTTCCAAAATTATATGTTTAATAATTATTTTCTGAAAAACGTGTAAATCTTAGAATATAATTCAGGCATCATATATGCACATGTGTTCTATGTATTATGTTATATATAATTAACATGATTGACATATTTTCTTATGCGATACAAATGAGTTGTAATTCAATTATATGGGTAACGCATTCTATTATTTTTAATTAAAAAATTTAATGAAGACTGACAAAATAATTTAATTGATATAATTAAAGAATTTAAAGGTTAAATTGATATATAAAAAAAAAATTAAAGACTTATGTGGAGTTTTCTCGGTAAAAATCAAACCAACACGACTGGCTAGCATTCAAAACACGTAGAAGCAATCCAAGTAACACCCTAATCTATGGCTTGCTTTGGAGCATGAAGCCAAGTTTGATCATCTTCCCAACTTCATATTCATCTACCCATCCATAATTGAACTTTCAGACTTACTCGTCCCACGTCTTCCCGTAAGAGAGAGAGAGAAGGAACGGTACTCTGAAACCAATCCAACCTCATGGCTTCCATCAGTAACCCCTTACTCTCCTCAAACTACTTGGGTACCCAAATCTTTCTCTCACCCCCAACTCCCAAGACAACCAAATCTTTGCCATTTAGAAAGTTTCCGGTGACTCAATCTACTCTCAGCAGAAAATCAAATTCCCAATCCCTAAAAAACATACCGTCACAGGCCACTTTAGCTGCCCTGCTCTTCTCTTCACTAGCCCCGCAAGCCCTAGCCCTGGATAGCACCACTCCACAGAGTCCACCACCCGTAATTCAAGTTGAAGAATCCAAACCAAACCCGTCGCCCTTTTCTCAAAACCTTCTCTTAACAGCTCCAAAACCCCAAACCCAGTCTACGTCTGACCTCCCGGATGGTAGTCAATGGCGATACAGCGAGTTCTTGAACGCTGTGAAAAAGGGCAAAGTTGAAAGGGTTAGATTCAGCAAAGACGGAGGTGCCCTCCAACTCACTGCTATTGATGGCCGTAGAGCCTCCGTAATTGTCCCCAATGACCCTGACTTAATTGACATTTTGGCAATGAATGGAGTCGATATTTCGGTCTCTGAAGGTGATTCTGGTAATGGGTTGTTCGGCTTTATCGGGAATTTGTTGTTTCCAGTTCTTGCTTTTGCCGGATTGTTCTTTCTATTCAGGCGAGCCCAGGGAGGGCCGGGTGGGCCTGGCGGACTGGGCGGGCCAATGGACTTTGGTCGGTCTAAATCTAAGTTTCAGGAGGTTCCAGAGACCGGTGTCACATTTGGCGATGTGGCCGGAGCTGATCAAGCCAAATTGGAATTGCAAGAAGTGGTTGATTTCTTGAAAAACCCTGATAAGTACACTGCTTTAGGAGCTAAAATTCCAAAAGGGTGTCTTTTGGTTGGACCACCCGGCACCGGCAAGACCCTTTTGGCCCGGGCAGTTGCCGGCGAGGCCGGTGTGCCATTCTTTTCGTGTGCAGCTTCGGAGTTTGTGGAATTGTTTGTGGGTGTGGGTGCTTCTAGGGTGAGGGATTTGTTTGAGAAGGCCAAATCCAAAGCCCCTTGCATTGTGTTTATTGATGAAATTGACGCAGTGGGGAGGCAGAGAGGGGCAGGACTCGGAGGTGGGAATGATGAAAGAGAGCAGACCATTAATCAGCTTTTGACTGAGATGGATGGTTTTTCGGGTAATTCAGGTGTTATTGTTTTGGCTGCGACTAACAGACCGGATGTTCTTGATTCAGCATTGCTGAGGCCAGGAAGGTTTGATAGACAGGTTACCGTGGATAGGCCTGATGTTGCTGGTAGAGTCAAGATCCTTCAGGTTAGCTAGCTATGCTCAAGAGCTCTTATCACTTGTTTCTTCATTAGCTTTCTTTAGATATTGTAGTGTTCATCAGCATGTCCAAGCTATATATGGAAGGCTAATAATTATAGTAGTCGACGAGAGAAAAAATTTTGAAAGAAGAACTAGTCCAAATTCTAATACTACAAATTGTAGAAATAGGGCAATTGACTAGTAATATTTTTCTTATTTAGTTTGGGGGTCTAATCTATAAATCAGGGTCCATCAGTCCTATAGATGGTATTGCCAAATGCTGTTTCACAGAGGAACACATGTTTGTATTTGATGATCAATCTGGTATTATGCCCGTACGGCTCTCTGCTACTTTGCCAATGTGTGTTCCTATATCTGTTCAGCAGCTGGGACGCTGTTCAAATCTTTACTGCTTCAAGTTGTGCATAAATTGTGTCCAAAAAAGGGTTGTTCATGTAGCATCCAGTCCGAGAACATTGGTAATCACAATCATGCTTTTTGTTCATTCCTTTGGTTAACCAATCAATACCCTTCTCTATGACAGGTGCACTCCAGAGGAAAGGCACTAGCAAAGGATGTGGACTTCGAAAAGATTGCCCGGAGAACACCAGGTTTCACAGGAGCTGATTTGCAAAACCTGATGAATGAAGCAGCCATACTTGCAGCCAGGCGTGACCTTAAGGAAATAAGCAAAGATGAAATATCAGATGCTTTGGAGAGAATAATTGCTGGTCCAGAGAAGAAAAATGCTGTTGTCTCAGATGAAAAAAAGAAGTTGGTTGCTTACCACGGTATGTAAAACATAAACAAGCATCTTTATGTTGTTCTTGCTTTTATTCTGATTATTTTGTGGGTGTGTTAACTGCATATTGGCATTTTGAATTGCAGAGGCAGGCCACGCTTTGGTTGGTGCACTGATGCCTGAATATGATCCTGTAGCCAAGATCTCCATCATTCCTCGTGGCCAAGCAGGTGGTCTCACGTTTTTTGCTCCAAGTGAAGAGAGGCTTGAGTCCGGGCTGTACAGTAGAAGCTACCTGGAGAATCAGATGGCTGTTGCACTTGGTGGAAGGTTAGTTATACATACATCTACCTTTCCTAAAACTTGGGAACTTGGCTTCAGGCATTCTAAAAACTTCCTTCTCTTTGAAATGTTTTTGAATGTGTGACCCTGATCAAATTCAAGCCTCTTGTGGGTCTGACTTGTCTCTTCCTCACCCTCCTTGCTCATGCAGGGTGGCTGAAGAGGTTATTTTCGGCCAAGAGAATGTAACGACGGGAGCATCAAATGACTTCATGCAAGTTTCAAGGGTTGCAAGGCAAATGGTCGAGAGATTTGGATTCAGCAAAAAGATTGGGCAAGTCGCCATTGGAGGACCTGGTGGAAATCCCTTCTTAGGTCAACAGGTAAGTCATTGCTGTGCTTGGCTCATGTAAGTCAGGTTAGTTTCTGCATGTGTAACCAACACTATTCTGTGTGACTTGATTGCAGATGTCATCTCAGAAAGATTACTCCATGGCAACTGCTGATGTGGTAGATGCTGAGGTGAGGGAGCTGGTAGAGACCGCCTATTCAAGGGCCAAGCAGATCATGACAACCCACATTGACATCCTACACAAGCTTGCTCAACTCCTAATAGAGAAAGAGACTGTTGATGGTGAAGAGTTCATGAGCCTTTTCATTGATGGCAAGGCTGAGTTATATGTTGCCTAATTGCAGTCTTCAGCCTCAATTCCATGCTGTGTAACAAATTCCATATACATATTTCCAATCATTTGAAAAGCAATTAATTATTTTGACAAATCCTTGAGAACAATCAATATCACTGTTTACCATAAGAGAATACATGCATCACCCTTGCTGTGGTGTACATCTTTCAACGACAACCGCACTCCCAAAAGTAATTATACACAAACAATGCATTTGTGACAATAACTAAACACAACAACTGATCGAGTCATGACTACAAAAAATTGATACACTGGGCACTCATGGTCCTCTCCCACCTCGTTGCCTCTTCTTTTCTAGTGCACCAGCATCATTCAACATATCAGTTGCATCCTGGTGCATGTCTAGCTTGGAAAGAGCAACTGCCTGCATATAAAACGCAGTGGACCAATCTGGATAGACACATTGTGCTTGCATTGCGTCTCGAAGAGCAGCATCTGGTTGATCACACATGAGATGACAGAGACTACGCCGTGCATAAACAGTTGGCGAAACCATGGTGCCCACATCCAAAAACTGCACATAAAAACGATATCTTACCCAAAAAGAGATGGCTTTGAGTGATTGCATCACTTTTCCCCTATCCCTCCAATTCATACATCCACAGAAAAAAATACAATGCATAACAAGAACTTTCTTTAACATTTTGTTAGCAGTTTGGTTATATAACTGTTTGTATTTGTGTAACAAAGTGAAAATCATGGATAGTCAACTTTGGGACCAGCATTATTACATATTCCTCAACAAAGAAATTGGTCGATTGATTGCAGGACTTGACTAGACCAACAGGAAATCTCTCATCTTACAATATCATAGACTTTTAAATGAGTCCTCAATGAAGACCGTAGCAGATTACAACCTAACACAATCTATATTTATACTCGTTATCATCTCAATCCAGCAAAAAAACAGAGTATGGTGGATTATGCAGTTAGCATTTTACTTCTAATTTTTGTTACCCTGTACACAAAAATAAAATAAAAAAAATATGCCTATGAACCTTATTTTCTGAATCAATCCCAAATAGTAAACCGAAGTGAAATTACAAAAGGGCATACCTGAGAGTAACAATCAATGGCAATTTTAAAGTCTTTATCACGAAATGCCAAGTCCCCACGTTTCCTTGCCTCCAACATATCTCTCATTTGCTGTGTCCACTCTTGGAAAGATAACTGTAACGACCAATGTCCACTTGTATAGTTTAGCATAAAAACTGAAAAGAAACATTTGCCAATCCATCTTCATTAATGAACTACCTCATTGGTTCCCTCGTCCTCTTTGTAGTGTGTCCTCACCAAAATCTGATGGATAGCAGTTAGGTCCATTCGGGAACAGGCATCACCCATTGCAGAAAGATGATGTTGTGGAGTAGGTGGTGCTTCCTCATGCTTTGGAATCCCCAGCATCACATAAGATGGAACCTGCAAGCACAGTTTTATGATTTTCAAAGTGCTAAATAAAAGCTAATTAGTATTTCCATGAACCCTAAATTAATCAAGCAAAGGCAAATGACTGTTTTTCTGAAAAGTGCTTTTGCAAGCTGAGCAATGAAGAAAAGAACAGCAAATTAGAAGCGCAAAATAAAACCATCCCCCCCCCCCCCCAAAAAAAAAAAAAAAAAAAACCCCCACACAGACAAATGAACAGAAAACACACACAACAAGAAGAAGATGTGGGGAAAGTAAAAGGGAAAACAGTGCTGAGCCTGCGGGTAAAACCTTTTTATACGGCTAGGAAAACCAACCATGGTTCAAGTTCACAATATCAACCATCGACTCGGAGAGATCTAAAACACATACGACCTAAGAGAAAATGTTGAACATGACAAAAAATTTTAGTCATATCATGCCATCGTAGAACCATATCGGCCAATTTGGCGGCGATTACTCGGCGACTCGGGATTGACTCGAATACAACTCGGATAACTCAGTCAAGTCGTACAAGACTCGGAGTTTATACGTATCATGTAATAGTATTGTCTCAGAAGGCATAGAGTCGGATACGACTAGGCCGACTTGTATGGTATCGGCCGATACTCTGAACCATAAAACCAAAAGTAACCATCTGATTCAAAAATATTAACTCACTAAAGTGTATCTGCATGAAACCTCGGATCATATCTCTTACACATTAACCAGCAGCATTTACACCAAGTAACAGACACTCGGGAAAGAAACTATCATTGCATGAAGTAGACGGGAAGAAGCAAAGATTAGGATATACATCAGCTTTATTTTGTAACGGGGCAAGTGTTGCAACGAGATCTTGGTACTTGGACGCTCCCTAGGTTCGTATTGCAAGCATCTTGAAGAAAGCTCAAAAACCACAGTGGCCTCTTCTGTTGAAAAGTTCCCCTCCAAATGTGAATCCATCAACAAAAGAATGTTTTTGCCCCGTATCATATCAAGTGCCTGCATATACAAAGATTTAAGATAAGTACATCAAAACTTACTAATTTCACATTTCTCAGGATTATCTCGACTCTGGAAGCTAACCATGGCCCATCCAATGCTGGTAAAAGGTGAATAATAAAGTGATGAAATGGCAAAGATGTCATATACATATCCTACTTCTCTTTGTTTTCAAATAGGAAACCCAAAAAAATTTGTGAGATCAACTGAAACAGAAGAATTGTTACAAGCCCATACATGAACTCATTCCACGTTTCACTTAAAGCATGAATCAATAGGTCAACAAAGAGTGATGATGGCATAGACTCAACTCTAGTGAGCTTGGACATACGATATGTGTAGATCGATTAGAATCTACCATGTCTTGCCAAGTCCTAGAACAAGTAAGCATGAATCTAACTGATCATCCACCTCCAACTAAATATTTTAGCATGAATCTAACTGATCATCCACCTCCAACTAAATATTTTAATACTCTAAAATTAATATGCAATGGTAGTTTGCAGTCCTATGCCCAGAAAGAAAGGAATTAGGTATTCAACTGGCACAACCACCCACCCATGTTCCCTAGCCACACCCATGTAAATAGTGTTATCGATGAGAAAATAGCACTAGCTATCAATGAGAAAAGTTCATCCAACGAAGAACTGCCTAAAATCTTCATAAAGCAATTTATGGAAGCCTTTTAAATATGGTCCAACATACAAAATGAAAATGCAGCCTTACTGCAGAGGAAAGATGTGGCGTGGCCTAGATGGAATGGAGCCTGAGTTTTTCTACACGATGATTGACTCCAAATGTAAGACATAATGTAGATATGGGTTAGACCAGTCTTTACAAAGAAGCAGGCTTTGCAATAGCAAAAAGAAGAAGCAGGCTCTGTAATAGCCCAAAAAAATAAATAAAGAAGCAGGCTATGCTGGTGGGTTGTCACAGTTAAAATATTCTACCATCTTCCCTAGCTCCTTTAGGTAAACTGAAGGTCCAAGGAACAAGAAGGGCCTGAATGCAAGACATATTCCCAGTGACTTGGGAAATGGTGCTAAAAGTCCCAAACTGAAGAAAAGGTTAGGGAAAGAACACTTGCACAACAAAACCAAAGATAGGACGTAAGTTGCATAATACTTACATGGCCTGGAGGGATATGCTTTCCACTTAGAAGATCCAAAAGGACGGTACCAAAACTGAAGCTAACACTTTCCGGAGTAACCCTCCCTAAAACACAGGTAATTTCTTCTCAGGCAAGTAACGCATATTTTAAAAGAACATGATATTGCTATCACAGAAAGTATATGATACACAAACAAAAAGGAAAAGAAAATTAGTTATGCATGTAGCCCATAATAGATGTCATGCAATATAACCCAACAGAGCAACGCTTTTTCATACACAAGAACTGACTAGCTCATCTTTCGATAGAGTTATGGGAGTGCATTAATACTTTACAATCAATTTTCACCAAATGTGCCACGGTAGACAACCCTACCTTGATTCTAAGTTTCCAAAGTGGTAATAACTCTACCAGGCATTTGTTTTCGCTGAATCTATATGCCCAGACTTTTTAGCTGTTGCAGTCCAACATAAAAAGACCAAGAAATTAAAGCCCAAAATTCTATGCAGCATATGAGATTGTAGGATCAATGCCTGACATTATGCAGATAGCTATAGTTCACTGATGAGTGCTAAACAAGGTAACATCGCATACCACAGAATAAAGACAATGTTATCATATTGGTAACTCCTTTCGCAACTACAAATGGCATTGTATGGACGATATAACCTTTCAGGACTTTACAATGGCCTTCAGAGCTATCAATCAGCACCGTGTCACTCATACAAAAATGATATCATGGAAGTTCTGTTCACTAAGAGTCTCTTAAAGTCCACCTCATTCAATTCAAAATGTGGACCAAAAAAAAAAGAGAAAGAGTAAAGAAAGTGAAGGCAAGCCAAGTCAGGAAGTTTACTCAACTCAACTCCACAAGTCTTGGTCCTTGACAGTTGACACAAGAAAATTTTCAAAACATAGGTAAGTGAAAACGCAGTAGATAAATGTAAATAAAGATCTGTTGTCTACGATCTTATTTTGTAGTTGTCAATGCTAGTTTATAACACAGTTGGAATTCTTTTCTGCTGTTGATTATTAAAAATAAATTCTGTTATTCGACAATGATGTTGATTTAGGGCTTTCTTACGCTGGCATACCTTGCATATGCGCAAGGCTTGCCCCAATTTTTTGGCCTGATTAGGATCAATGACACAGCATTTAAATTTCATGTTAAACACCCTGCATGACAATACATATGTCATGGAACATTTAAAATATAATATCTCTGCATCAGAAGGCCTAATGTAATTGGCCTCAAAACTGAGAGGAAGTATGACTATTGGAGTGAACAACACACAAAACATATATGATGCGAATCAGAACAAGAAAAAGAAATAAGTACCATTTCTTAAATACTCAGGAGGTGTATATGCAAGATTTGTGCTATAACTTTTGCCATCCCTGCTATTTTTCATCAAGCCAAAACATGAAAGCCTAGGATCACCATTCTGCACAAACCATCCACCATATTACCACATCACTTCCATTGAAACCAATAGACACTGTGATATTAGTCTTGGTGCAAGCAAATATGTTTTAGACAATCAGATAATTAATATCTGCAAAAACATATAATAGATATCTTCAAAGTGGAGTAAAGGGATCCATTACACCTCATCGAAGAGAACCCTGTAAGCATTCAAATCATGATACAATGGACGACCTTCAGTTCTACAATAATCCAATGCTTCTGCAATATACAAAGCAACTCTTAAACGCATAGCCCACTCGATGGTTTGATTCTCCCCTGTGAAAGAAATGATGACGAGCCTTTAATACCCACTTCCACAACACATATATCAACTTAAGCAACAAATAAGCAAGATCATAATTATAACTGAATGAAAAGGCTAAGATGGTATGACACTGTCTTGACTGAAGTTTGTTACTTTACTGGCTCAGAATTCAGGTGAAGATGGATTCCGTTGACCAAGAGAAAAGGCATCTAGCACTACTATGAGCATAACACTAAACGTGGCACAAAGGGACAAAAATGATGGCATTCCAACCATCCTGAGCACCACAAAGCATAGCAAACGTTAAGATCAATGTGCAATATGTTCCTTCGACTTAATATGTATTAGCTAGTTGCAAAGCACACCGTACACTATACCCCTCATCTTGTTGAACTGCCTTTCCATTTTAATAAACAGAAAAGGCCAGACAGTAGCCATTACAGATGCTATCAATGCACGGTGCTCAGAGTATACTAGAGAAAGACCTAACCTTTAGAAAAATAGCACAAAATAGTTGCTCTCAGACTTGAACCTGCACCCTCATACTTGGCAATTCAAGCTTTTACCATGCACCAAGCACGGCAAGATTCTACAAGCAAATAACACGTAACTTACTTTTACAGAAGTATGGTTGATAACCAATGTAAATTTGGACTTTGCCTTCCCCTGGTCTAAATGTTCTAAAAAATACATGAAAACATCTCCAAACCTCTGGCTACTTATTATGCACACTCCAATATAAGTTGCAAACATCCAGAAGCAAGAGGAAAGTAAAACAATCATTCCCTTACTAGAAGGAGCTCCTGTCAGCAGGGGTGGAGCTACATGTGTTGTAGAGGGGGCAGTTGCCCCCTCTGACTTTTGAGGGATTATGTATATGCAAAGAAGTATGGATACGAACACAAGACACCTATAAGACATGACACAGACATGCGGACATGACATTTCTAAAAAAAATAAGACTCAAATTCATCGAGAATATGTTACAAATACTTATGCCTTATATGCAAATTATATAATTTATCACAAGTATAGATATAATTATATATTCCTATGAAATTTAGTACTATATGGTGATAAAATCTTATGTTTAGTTATCTACTGTGAATTTTAAGACTAAAAGATTATAGTAGTCAACAATAATTTTTCCCTGATAACATGTGGCAGACATACATAATTACAAAGATTGCAAACATACATAATTACAAAACGAATATTTTGTTATTGGACTGAGTAAAACAAATGTGAAATTTATTAACTCATATATATTGACCAAAAGACAATTACTCTGTTATTTAATATACTTTCTAACATTTTGTTAAATATAATTGTGTAGTTGTCCCAATTCTTTTTTTTGTATGTAAGTGACCCATAATCCAGTGACACATAAGTAGATGCAAATGATAAAATATGCTAACCCCGAAGTGTTTATGCCCTTTAAAAAATATCGATTTTTCAACAAGATTAAAAAGAAATTACATAGAAATTTAATTTATCAATTACGATTCTTGAGATTTTAAACATGGCCACCCTACCAAATATAACAATTTTTCAACATGGTTAAAAGGAATTGCTTAGAAATTTGCATTAGAAAAAATAAATTATAAACAATTCTTGGGATGTGAAACAACGTTGTGGTGTTTCTCTCTAATATAATTGAGTAAAATGAGGTATAAAAATATTATTGTTTTCGTCTATTCATATTTTGTTTATGACTTCATACTAAATTGATTTTGGATTCAAATTTCATATAGTAATTAAGTCTTGATCTTAATATACTTCTCATAGTTGAACCAATTTTTTTTCTTTTTGTGTGTGAAATTTACACTTAATTTACCCTCCATTGATGGAGGTTCGGGAAAATTTTTTGTACCCTTGGCTAAATTTTTTTCATTCGTGTTTTGTACCAGACTCCTTACTACATAGCAAAACTAATAACAAGCCTGCCGACGATGTAATAAAACTCATTGCAACCCTTGTATGGCAAACCCATTCAGAATTGTGAACTAATTAATTATTAAATTAACATAGCAGCAAGTGAAGCAAGAATTGGTTCCAATTCAATTACACATACAGTGGAATAGATGTTTCACGAGTGTATCATTGGGCATATAATCAGCAACAAGCAACCTCTCATCACCGTCAGAGCAATATCCAATCAAATTCGCAAGCCTCTCATGTCTCAGCTTCCCAACCCCCCATGCTTCATCCTTTAAAGAAAAGAATCAAACAAACAACATCAAATTAAACCGTATTTTCAATAGAATCATCCACAAAATCAAAATTTTAAAATAAAATAAAATTCAATACCGCGAACTGTTTAGGATCAGGCCAGGCCATTTTAGAAAATTTTTTGACAGCGATCCACCTGCGATTCTGTAGACGCCCCTTGTAGACCGTGTTTGGGGCTTTTTCGCCGCTCTCATTGACAATGAAGTCGGAGCTGAAGTTGTTGGTAGCCGCTTTAAGATCGGCAAGTGAAAACTCGGAGAAGGCCGGTACACCGCCAGGGACTTCGTCTCCTCCGGCGGCGCCACCAGTAGCTGTACCATTTGACGGATGCGAATGGGTCTGGCCGCAGCGTTGTTCCTTCTCTGAAAGAGGTTCATTCAAGAAAGACGATTCACAACACCCCATAACTCGGTCGAGTTTACTCAAAGATGTACCAGAAGAATCATACAAGGCATAGACATAAATAAAATAAAATAAAACTACACACAGCTGTGTGGATACAGATATAGGTATGGGCGAGAAAAAAGAGAATATTTTGTTTGAAGGCTCTTCTGACTATGAGTGCGTGCGTGTGGATGGAGAGAGAGAGAAAAAGAGAGACGTATTGAATGAAAGAAGCAGTGATGAAAGTATGTATGAAACCTTCTGTACTGACAAAGCGTCTCTTTCTCTCTCTCCCTCTTTCATTTTGCTTGTACGGGTGTGCTGTCCTTGTTTCGATGATGAAGGGTAGTTTTGTCTTTAAATAGAAGATATGTGCCGTCCAATTTATCGCGATATCTGGTCTTCTATCGTATTCAGGTGATTTTGATGGAGCTTCGCCCATCTTTCCCAGTGTAGGTTCAAGTTCAACAATAATAAAAAGAGAGAATTACATCTAGACCTATGAGATTTATGACTTAATTACTCAGATTTTTAATATTTAAAATATTACACACAAACTCTTTGAAGTTTTGTACATATATAACACTTAGATCCTTGTTGTAAATATATCGGTTAATAAATTATACTTAAATCTCCTAAAATTTATAGGTATATAATATTTAGACTTTTTAAGTTTAAAATATTATACTTAGACCAAAAATATTCCAATCAAATATAAAATATCAAATATTTTAAATTTTATAACAAAAATTCATGTTCTATTGTATCATTTATTGAAATAAAATAAAAAAAAAATTCATTTTTTTCTTAAAAATTGTAATTAATATACAATTATATTATCTATTATAATTTAATTTAGTCGTTTAAACGACAAAATTAAAATACCAAACTACCTCAATTAAATCTAAAAAATATTGTGTTCATTACATTTTGATTCTTTGTTTAATTTTTTTTATGAATGACTTATACCCATTGTTTGATATTTTTTTAGTTTTATTTCAATAAACAGTATAATTGTATACTAATTATGATTTTTTTTAAGAAAAAAATAAATTTTTAATTTTAATTTTACTTCAATAAATGATACAATAGAACATGAGTTTTGGTTGTAAAATTTAAAATATTTTATATTTTATATTTAATTGGAGTATTTTTTTGTCTAAGTATAATATTTTAAATTTAAAGAGTCTAAGTAATATATACCCACAAAATTTAGAGGAGTGTAAGTGTAATTTATTAATGAATATATTTACAACAGGAACTAAGTGTTATGTGCGTACAAATCTCAGGAGGTTTGTGTGTAATATTTCAAATGTCAGGAGGTTTAAGTGATTAAATGACAAACTTCAGATGGTCTGAATGTAATTCTTCTAATAATAATTTGTCAATTTTAAATTGAATTTGGTAGCTCAAAAATATAAACAAATGGCTAAATTCCGATGACACCTCCATTATATAATTTAATTACAGAACCACGGCTTATGATTTTTAAAATATCACGATCACTACTTTATACATTCATTTTACATACTATCCAATCATAAAGTCTAAAAAATAATAATAACTTTTAAACCAATATTTTTCGATAATATTATCCTTTAGAATTGGACTTTGTGATGTTGCGGTGGCATATGGCAATGTGGTAATTGGTCTAATTGTTTCAATAAGATTTTTTTGTTTGTTCAACGATTATGAGTATTTAGGTCAGTTTATACTTATTTCGATTAATTTATTTTTTAGTATGATCAAAGACATGATATCCACGTTGAAATTAGGGTATTCATAAGATAGTTTTGTTTCAATAATATTCTTTTATTTGTTTAACAGTCAAGGGTATTTAGCTCAGTTACTCGCACCTTAACTAATATCTTTCGTAGTGTGATCAAAAACAAGATATTCATGTTAAAAATAGAATATTCATGAGATGCAAGATAGTTTTGCTTCAATAGGATTTTTTTATTTATTCAATAATCTTAGGTTAGTTTACGTGCATTTCAACTAATCTTATATTTAATACGAGTAAAGATAAATTATTCATGTCGAGATTAAGATATTCATAAAGGATATATCTTTTATAACTTGTACCCATAAAATTATCAAGATTCAAAAAGGAATAAAGGTGGTTTTAATGTTGTAATTTTTTTGGCTGTAGCTTTATCTTATTATTTCAAAGTAATTAAAGGGATATCACACACGCTAAGGCTATATAGTGTCTCGAATTACACTTTCTACATTATTCCATTCCTCGTACGCAAAACGGCTTGATTTAAAAGCCAACTAAGCCATTTGCGCAGGGCCCAATATTTTTTTAGTCCTTTTAAGTAAGTTTTGTCCCATTTTTTTATATTTACTTACCGAATAAAAGAATAAGAGAATTCATACACATACACCTAATTTGAAACCGAAAGAGAATTCACACACCATAGGTCAATATAAAAAATCTCATGTTTTTTTTATATCTTCAATCAAAAAAAAAAAAATAATGATATCTCCTCTATAGTCTCCTCCTCTCATTCCGTGTCAAAGAGTCAAGTGAATATTTTTTAGAAATAATATAATAATACTAGATATAGTAAGTCAAGTTAGATTTGAACAATTGAAATTATATGAAGGTATTTTAGATTTTTAATTTTGTTTCAAATACTAAAATCACTAGTAAATAAGAGTTTGAAAATATTGTCTTGATTTTGATTTTTTTTTAAATGACCAAATTTTGGATATTAATGATTAAACTTGTGTTTAGAACAAGAGTATTGCAAGAAGTTTTAATGTAGTAGAAATGAACACTTTAATCAAATCATTATAGTGTTAATTACAAAATGCTCCCTTTAAATTTGGATCAAGTTGTAATCAACTCCCTCTGCTTTGAATTTTAATAAATTACCCTCTCAAAGTTTATACATTTTTCAATTAAGTCTAATTATTAGTTTATACAATGAAAAATAATGAAAATTAAGTAACATAATCTCAAATTTATTGAAAATGTTAAATTACTCTGAACTCAAAATTTTTTCTTCACGTCAAAAATCTCCCCATTCTTATTCAAAAGGTAAAAATGATGTGAACGGTGATCTTGTTTCTTTATGGAATTTGAGATCATTTGATTTACAAATGAATAATTTCTGTCATTTTTTATTATCAAAAATAACAACTTGACTCAATTTATAAATATTCAAACTTTGAGGGAGTAAATTGTTGAAACTAAAACCAAAGATAATTGATTGAATGTGACATAAACTTGAAGGGTGCAACTATAATTAACACATCATTATACTATGTGAAAATTACTGTATTGCTTATATAATATTAATGAAAATGCCAGTAACAGATTTCTTTCTTCTATGAGAATTTTTTTAATAAAAAAATGGAGGATCTGGGCTTGCCAATTATTGAAATCCAACGGCACAAATGGAGTGACTCCACGGTTCTTATAGTGACTGCGTCTTCTTTGTATCTTTTACTCTATAATTAGTTCCTATTTAAGAAAGAATTATGTTTCTTTTTGCACGATGAAAAAATGAAAAAATTAAAAGTTTGAGGAATAGATAAAAAAATATCATATTTGATAAAAAAAAAATAGAAAGGATAAAAAAGTGGATGAATTAAACATCATTATAACTCACTAAAATCAATTCTTCTAAAATTAGGAGAAAAAGTGGATAAAAAATAATTAATTCCGTTGAAATATATGTTATTAATTATATATCATATTTATCAAATATATAGTATATATACATTAATTTTATATATAAACTAGTCATAATTTGTGCCAATGATGAAATATAAGATCCTATCTTCAAAAAATTTATTCCACTATACAAAATTTAAAATAAATTTATTTGCTTACATCATTTCAAAATTAATTTTTATATATTAATTTCTTAAAAATAGAATCAAAATTTTATCAAAATACATAAATCAATAATTTTTTTCCAACATGTGTATAGATAATGTATCAAATAAAAATTATCTTAAACTACAAATTAACTAAATATTAAATAATGAATGTGTGATAAAATTAAATGATGTGATATTTTTTAGAAGAAAAATATATAAAGAATAAAAATTCGACTTACTAACTGATTTATTATATAAATATAATAGTAAAATATATATTTACTAGTTATAACTCGTGTTTAAAGGTACGGTAAAATATAAAATTATACCGTTAAAAAAATTGATCTCACTATACTAAATTTAAAATTAATTTTTACCTATTATTTTCTTAAAAATAACGTCAAAATTTTCTAAAAAATCATAACTCGACAAATTTTTTTCAACATGTGTACACTATCGTGTATGAAATAAAAATTGTGTTAAACTACAACGAAATAGAACTTGTGTTAATCTACAAATTAACTAAATATTAAATAATTGAACATGTAATAGAGTTGAGTGATGTGATACTTTTTGGAGAAAAAATGTATAGAGAATAAAGATTCAACTTATTAGTTGATTTATTATATAAATATTTTTTAATAAAAAAAAACTTTTTTTTATTTTATCAAACACAAAAATATTAATTTTTTCTTTTTTTATTTTTTTTATCAAACACAAAAAAAAAAAAAATTATTTAAAAGACAAAAAACATATCATGCTTCTCATCATTTTACTTTTCTATTTACTCTAGCAAACGAACTCATAGAGACGTCTCATCCCTTTGAATAGGTTGGGCCTCGGACATGTTGAGAGAAACGATTGCTATAACTACGGGTGGTGACGATTTAGCAGATTCACAGTAGCTCTGTCGGTGCCAAACAGCTGTTCCGCTGATTTTCTGTACCAGCATTTTGTCTTCTGGCCATCATTGCTTTTTTTTTTGTCAAAAAAAAAAAAATTACAATCAACCCAAGTTTTTATCGAAATAGTGCAATAATCTCCAGAAATTCAATAAGACGTGAAAAAGTTAGGTCACTTTAAGCCCATCCCTGGGCCACGTATGTTTTGTGTATTAGATTTAGGTGGTATTAAAATTATTTTATTTTATTTTTATTTAATAGTATATTTATTCGGTGTTAAAT